GCCGGGGAACAGGCTCAAGCGGGATCGGTCGCACAGGATACCGATGACGAGCCGATCGCCGCTGTTTTGAGGAAAACCAAATCTACGTCGGCTGTGCTGGCCTTAGGGCCTGTAGGCAAGGCGAAAGGTCGCGCCGAGGTCGTTGGCAAGGGGAGAGCTGGAGCTGCAGTTCCAACCAAAGGTGCTGCAAAGTCTAAGGAGATGGCTCAAGGTTCGAAACGTCCAGCAAACTTTCCTGCCGAGGACCGAGCTGCAAAGAAAATCGCTCCTTCCACCTCGTCTCACTCTGTCGAGCCTGTTTCTCAGGTTTGCATCGGCAACATCTCGCTACTTAGTCAATTTTTTTTTTTTTTAAACATGTTTGCTTTTTGTGTTTTTTCGCAGGGTAATGTCGATGCCCCGTTGCCGGATCCCAATGATCCTTACACCGCTCCGATCGCAGCAGCTCGCGCAATTTCCCAATTTTGCCGACCTGGAATGAACCCGGTGGATCACACTTCTCTGGAATTCGCAGACGTCTATGGCGAAGTAGCGCTTCGAGCAGTTAAGGTAAGGTTTTTGCCAATCCCATTGGTTTTGCCGCGCTTGCCCCTCGTTTAATAACTTATGTGTGGATTTTTTGCAGCTCGCCGCTCATGTTAACCAGCTGGCTAAAGATTATCAGGGCGAGCTTCATCTGAGCAAGCAACGATGTGAGGATGCCTGTGGGGAAGCTAGCGAGGCAAACCGGAAGCGCGACGCGGCCGAGAAGGAGTGCGCCGATCTCAAGGCCAAGCTGAAACTTGCCGATGATCAGATCAAAGTGTTGGAGAATCGTTCGGTGAGAAAAGACAAGGCGATCGAAAACGCAACAAAGAACTGGGAAGAGGCCGAGAAAAAGCTGGAAGAGGCCGAGCGACTCAGAGAGGCAGAGATTGCCGCAGCCGTTGTGGGGGCGAAACGTGATATAACAAGTAGGTTTTATGCGAGGATTTCGAAAGCCCGCAAATGCTTTGAGGAGATAGACGACGAGGCTCTCGTTAGCATGAGGGATCTTTTCGAGATGAAGAGCAACCTCACTCTTTTGATGATGCTCCAGAAGCCCGATGTTCCCTCTCTTGATGACGAGGTGAAGAGCGTTCTCGGCGCCATGGAGAATGTTAAGGAGGCGGACGAGCGCTTCAATCGGCTATGGTTGGAGATGGACAAAGCCTTAACTCTTGAGCCTACTACCGATGGTCTAGCGGCGAGCATTGGGGTTATTGAGCCTTCTGGTTCGAATCGAGGCAATCCTGGAATCACCGAGTTTGCCGCCAAGGAGCGATCAGGAAAGTCTACGCCGATCGAAGACTTGGCCGATCCATCGGTGGCGAAGACCGGTCTTGCTGCTTTGGATTTTTCTGGCGAGTCCATGGATGAGTTCGTGGAGTCTGTCCAAAAGGATGCCGCTGCCGGGCTTCAAGTGATGGTGAACTGCGACATGAATCTCGAGGATGAAGAGAAGGAAACCGAGAAAGCCGGTGTTGGAGAGGAGATGAAGGCGGCTGATGGAGCCGAGGCGAAGATGAGTACTCCTTAGTTGTATTTTCTCCGACTTATGATTTTTACCTTGCACCTAAGTTTTTATGATGCAAGATGATTTATGATAAAGGTTTTGTAACGATTCTGTTTTGTTAGAATGATATTCGACAAGCTGTTGTTTTAATGCCAAAAAAGCCATTCGATATTTGTTTCAGACCAATGTTAAGTATATTGGGTTTTCTGATGTTCAACATGGTTTTACGAGCGAGTTGCTTTAACAAGCCTGCTCCAATAGTGAACATGCTATCGCGTTGCGACCGACGACTCGATTGTTGGGTTTTAGAATGATCGTTTCGGATTACGCAAATATTTCATTTTGAACATATCCGCTCGATAACGAACATGTAGCGATATGACCAACGGAAAGCTAGTTGGGTTTAGAGTGATCATTTCGGGTTACGCATATATTTCTCCTTGAACATATCCNCTCGATAATGAACACATGNATTTATATAGCGCGCNGTTTTAATNCTGCGAAGGATGTGGTAATCAGATCTGAAAAAGATTCGTGGAAAGCTTGTTGCTGTGGCCAGCAGCAACAAAATTGGTTGTTTTAATGTCTGATTTTGGTAAGACTCAAACGATTTGGAAAAAGATATAAAGATGAAGTGTGAATGAGCNTTTGCTCTTAGCATATCGCAAAGAAAATATTTACATAAGT